AATTTATGAATTATGACATTTGAATGCATTGTGTCTTCATCAGTGAGAAGCAGTGGAACCAGAACTCCAGCATATTAGGATAACTGAGACTGTGTAGAAGCCCAGTGATCTCATCACAAGAAAGAGCTTAAGTAAATTCAGTGTCATCATTATTACAAAGTGCTAAGGATCTCTCCTTGACTCAGGATTAAGCAATAGCCCTCTGCAATCATAGACACTTCATAAGCAGTTGGGTAACATTAGACATGAATCTCTTATCTTACTGCAGTGAGCATATGTTTTTCTTTCCTATAATATGGTAATGTAGTAAGTCCATGGTAATAGAGCCTCAAGTTCTTACTCAGAAGGTTTAGCATCTTATTTCCATAATAAGCAAGGCATTCTCCTTCATATCATGTCAACATATTAATGTATGTTTTTTGTCACTTTCTCAACTATCATATGATATTGCTAAATACTTAGGAATAGAAATACAGAGCTTAATTTGAAATTATTTTATGCCTTTCCACCAGGTAAGTATTTACCAAAGCCTGTTTATTTCAAAGAGATACTTGTGCTTTATTTTGCCTATGATCTTTATTTTTACATTGTGTCTTTTTAAAAAACTCAGTAACTAAGCTAAATATGGCATATATTTTGTTTTTCCTTCCATAGCATATGTTTTCTCTCTCTTACATCTTGGGGTTTTGTTGTGAATATACATGATCTTTGCTTGTCTCTTGGCAAAGATTGGAATATCTGGGATTGGTGTTAAATTCCAGGATTCAATATTTTTAAGATCTTGAAGTAGGAATGCATGCTATCCAAAATAAAGTATTTTCTGATCATAACAAAGGCCTCAGAATAGGAAAGAGAGAATTGTTGTGGCTCATTAATTTCTTTGTTGTCACTCTTCCATGTAATTTCTTAGGCACAGGTCTGAAAGTGTTTTTGAACTTAAATCAAAAGTTTAGAAAAAAGACAATTGAGTTAGACTTTCTATAATTCTAGCCTTTCTGTGTAGAACAAGGCTAAATTTATAAATATTTTTCTTTCAATGTTATGAAGATGATTTGCTGGAAGATGTCATTGGACTCATTGACTGAAAATATTTTTATAATTGTTTAAATGTAGATGCTTTAGGGATTACTCCAACAAAGAGCTATTGACCATGTGGTTAATTTAATTAGATTTCCCAGAAAATGCACGACCAAAATGGATCATATTAGATGGATGGATCTTACTAGAAGGATGTATAGATAAATAGTGACCTTACATTTTATTAATATAGAGATATGATCTTGGAATCAAAGTGCTACAGATTTGTGAACTCAAACATTCCCTTAATATAGAGATATGATCTTGGAATCAAAGTGCTACAGATTTCTGAACTCAAACATTCCCTGGATGCTTTGCTGTGTCTTGAAAGTGATGAAATCTTGATGAAGGAGGACTTCAAAACAGGAGGCTTGAGCTCTATTCAGTAGTATGCACTCAGCAACTGAAGCCATTTTCCTTGGGTCCTCTCTTGCTCAAGGACATAGCTGCTGCATTTTGTATCTCTTCAACCTACCACTCAAAGTTTTGCTTCCTGTTCCCCCTCTTTCTAGTGGGCTTCCTTCCCTCTGCTGTCCTTGCTGGCCTCACACAACTGTGAAGACCATTGACTGCTTTGTCCTTTATAGAATCTGATCTTTCTTATCTGCCCAACTCCAAACATGCCATTCCTTTTGTTCTTTATGTTTGACCAATCCATCATCCCTGTCACAAGGCAACTTGTCTTTTTATGTAAGAAATAAACAGGCTGGGTGTGGTGGTGAACACCTGTAATCCCAGTGGCTCTGGAGGCTAAAGAAGGAGGATCACAAGTTCAAAGACAGCCTCAGCAATGGTGAGGTGCTAAGCAACTCAGTGAGACCTTGTCTTTAAATAAAATACAAAAAAAAAAATGGGACTGGGGATGTGGTTCAGTGGTTGAGTGACCCTGAGTTCAATCCTCAGTATCCTGGCCCCACCCCCACCCCAACCCCCACTCCCCAAAAAACCCTGCTTCTGTAATTAGTTCTATGGGGCCCTTCAAAACCTCTCTTTACCTTTGCCTTTTCTTTTTCTGAGACTGGAAATAATGGATTGTGTGTGTGTGTGTGTGTGTGTGTGTGTGTGGTTGTGTGTGTGTGTGTGTATGTGTTTTGTCTTTGGAACTTTAATGACTTTAGCTAAGTCATTTAAATTCATTCTGCTTCTATTTTGAGAAAAATACTAGTGTTATATCCCCAGTGAGTGTATCATGAAGATTAAATGAGATAATGCATATAAAATGTTTAAAACAGGGCTGCCACATTGATAAGGTTGTATAAAATATTTTTGGACTAAAGGAAATATTTATATTCTCTGTACATAAGTGGTTGAATCTTTTTAAAGCTTTTCCATGTGCTCAGTTCACTCAGAATATGAATCTTTTAGGAAAGACTTACAGAACCCTCTAGATAATAGAGAATAATGAAAACTTTGTCACCTATTAGAATCTTTTAAGGAACATGGATTTCATCTCCATTCTTGGCTTTTCAAATTACTATGTCTTTTCAGATATGAGATGCTATCAAATTGTTGGTGGTTATTACTTTTAATGTAAATACCAGCTAAGTACAATGATTTTTGACACTTAGTGCCCATCATGCAGTGAGCCTGGCATGCAGTGAGCACTCAACAAATATTGTTGTTACTATTTTTATTACAGCTGTTGTGTTATGTGTGATGTTTCTCTTTCCCCAAATTTAATGATTAAAATGCACTTAAAATAAGGTACCAAATGCCTTTTAAAACATTTTAGGATACAATTATTAACTAAAGGTTAGTAATATTATAGAGATCCTTGTGTCTGTATTACTTGAAATTTACACTTTCATAGACATCCTGATATTTGAGATGAACTTTTAAAATTATATAAGCTAACCAAAAGTGAAATTAACCTTCTGAGATTTTTTATTAAAATATTTTTTAGCACATCTGTGAAAATTTTCTAAATCAATTACATAAATATTTAGAAAGAAAACTATGTGTTAAATTCTCAAAGATGATTTGAAAAACATTAAAAACCATAATAAGTTCTGAAAAAGTTTTGACAGCTGCTTGTTGGATTCCTTTACATTTATATTTAAAAAATGAAAAATTTTATTCTGAAGTAAAAAGAAAATCTTGAGTAAAACCCTTCACCTTTTAAGTTTCCACAGGTATTCATTAAAAAAAGGCTGGTTCCTGGGAACAAATCTTTACTCCTCACACTTCAGATAGAGCCCTAATATCCAGAGTATACAAAGAACTCAAAAAATTAGACAATAAGAAAACAAACAACCCAATCAACAAATGGGCCAAGGACCTGAACAGACACTTCTCAGAGGAGGACATACAGTCAATCAACAAGTACATGAAAAAATGCTCAACATCTCTAGCTGTCAGAGAAATGCAAATCAAAACCACCCTAAGATACCATCTCATTCCAGTAAGATTGGCAGCCATTAGGAAGTCAAACAACAACAAGTGCTGGCGAGGATGTGGGGAAAAGGGTACACTTGTACATTGCTGGTGGGACTGCAGATTGGTGCAGCCAATTTGGAAAGCAGTATGGAGATTTCTTGGAAAGCTGGGAATGGAGCCACCATTTGACCCAGCTATTCCCCTTCTTGGTCTATTCCCTAAAGACCTAAAAAGAGCATGCTACAGGGACACTGCTACATCGATGTTCATGGCAGCACAGTTCACAATAGCAAGACTGTGGAACCAACCTAGATGCCCTTCAATAGACGAATGGATAAAAAAAAATGTGGCATTTATACACAATGGAGTATTACTCTGCATTAAAAAAATGACAAAATCATAGAATTTACAGGGAAATGGATGGCATTAGAGCAGATTATTCTAAGTGAAGCTAGCCAATCCCTAAAAAACAAATGCCAAATGTCTTCTTTGATATAAGGAGAGTAACTAAGAACAGTGTAGGGACGAAGAACAGGAGAAGATGATTAACATTTAACAGGGATGAGAGGTGGGAGGGAAAGGGAGAGAGAAGGAAAATTGCATGGTAATGGAAGGAGACCCTCAGGGTTATACAGTGGAGGAGGTAGAGAGAGAGGAGGGGAGGGGAGGGGAGAGGTGGGGAGGGGGGAGGGTGGAGGATGGGAAAGGCAGTGGAGCACAACAGACACTAGTATGGCAATTTGTAAATCAATGGATGTGTAACTGATGTGATTCTGCAATCTGTGTATGGGGTGAAGGTGGGAGTTCATAACCCACTTGAATCAAAGTGTGGAATATGATATGTCAAGAAATTTGTAATGTTTTGAACAACCCACAATAAAAAATTAAAAAAAAAAAAAAGGCTGGTTCTGCAGAGCAAGGTTTTTCATTGTGTGCTTATTGAAATATATAGTAAAAAAATTAAAATGTAATAACTTGGGGCTCAAAGATATTATTGCTGAGATTCCTTCATTTGTTTTGGTAAATTCGTAAATGGTTCTTTGCACTCGATATTGATAACTGAGATTTGAGTTACAATTTAAAAAAAATAATTCAAAAAGGTCATTAATGTGGCCTTGGTCACAAGAACAAAATTTTCCTAGACTTTTGAGATACTCTTTCTCCTTGAAAAATACTTTTATATTTTTGTACTGCTTAAGGTGGTTTTAGAATATGATTGGAAGAACTTATTCATAACGTTTGTCTAAACATCCTGGCAGCGTCATACTCTTTAACTTGGCTTGTCATTTGCATCTCTCCCCTTGTGCCACATTTCCCCAAGGTGTGAGTCAGTGGACTGATACCGCCCCTGAATTTGGAGTGGGTAATTTAACATAGTTCCCAAGAGTTAGGCGGGAACCTGAAACCCAGTAGTAAAACATGGGGGCGGGATTAACGTTCAGAGCTCAACCCCCCTCGATCTGATTGGATGGAGCCAAGTGGGTGGAACTTCCTGATCCTGCCCTCGAGATTCTGTCGCTAGGGACGCTTTGGCCAAGGCAACCGCGATGGATCAGGACGAGGCGTTGATGGCCGTGGACAATATTGTCACTCAGTTCAACACTTACGAAGATTTCCTCGACTCGCAGATCACAACCGTGGACTTGTACTACCTGGAGGTAAGGGCAGCGGCGCGGCAGAGTCCGCCGCCTTCGCGTCCCTAGGTCCCTCGGCGATCTGACGCGTCGTGGGGTGTTCGCCCCCTGGCGGTGGACCGCGAAACGTCAGGCTCGGCGGCCGCAGGGTAGCCGCGCAGAACACCTGCTGAGGTGAGTCGCAGGTCCTGCGGGCCCTGCAGTGCCCTGTCCTGGCGGAACTTGGCCTCTCGAGTCAACCAGCGCAGAAACTCGCGCGTGCACGTACGCACGCAGGGGACTCTTGAATTTCTACATCTCGGCCTTTCTGCCTTCTCCTGGACAGTCCCGTTCCAAAGTTACTTTGAGAAAGGAAGGCTGCGCAGAGTTTTAACTCAGAACATACACCATTTCGCTTTCCTTTGTCAATCTTTGTTAAAGGAGCAGAAGACAGTATGTTTCCAGGACAACTGGCAACACCAACCTAGTGCATTTGATATAATTTTGGGTATTTGGGTCCTTGAAACACCTGCCCCCCCCCGCCCCCCTTACCCTCATCCCTACTAATCGCTGGTAGTTGTGCCGGTATATTCCTGTCTCTGTGTTATACAGTTGATAATCGCGATTAATACCCATAGTAAAAATTCAAGGGGGAAAAAAAGTGCGAAACCGGACTTAATGGGTTACACTCTTCTGCCCAGCATCCCATCCACTCCCGCTAAAGGGAGTGTGGTGCAGGATACAGTTCTCGTCCAGAGCGAAGAAAACTCGGATGGGCGGGAAAATCACGGGCTAGGGTAGGTTGTGTGAAGCTAGGAGGTGGCCAGTGAGTTCCTCAAACCCTATCTATTCCCAGCCAATCTTCCCCAACCCAGCAGATTAAATGGGTAGTAAGGGGATTCAGCTGTCCTGGAAGTGATGCAGAACCGCCACCTCCCAATTTATGGCAGAGAGAACAAACGCCACTATGTGGCGCCAAAGCACATCAAGTCTGGAAAGAACCCTGTAACCAACTCTCCACATTTCTAATCTGGAATAAGGTAATTTTGCGCATTGAAATTTTTGGACTCCCCAATTCGGATGGGTGGAGTTTCACTTAAACGTGGACTACAGATTTGAAAAGTGCTTATCCTTCAAAACACATTCATTTGGTAGATATGAAAATAATTTTAAGGGAACAGAAACATCTAATTCTAGTACCTGTACCCCGAACAAGTTGTGGGACCTTGGACAAGTGATTTGTTCTTCCTGAAATTGTCTTTTAAAAATAAATGTAGGTGGGATTTCCAACACAACCCTTGGATTCATCAACAACTTTTAAATATTTTATATAGATAATATTTTAAAGTCTTGAAAGTCAGTTTTGTGCCTTGCATCTGAGACACTGAAATGAAGGGCAAAAGAAATGCTTCTAAACAATGTCTGAATTCAAATTTTTGAATGTTTAAATAAAAAAAAGTGAAATGTACACAATAATCAACTCGATAGAAAAAAAATCATCTTTGTAGCATGTGTGGAACATTACTACACTTAAGCCTAGTATCATTGAGAAATGTTTCAGTGTTGTTGTTTTTTTTAAACTGTTACAGTTTTTCATGAGAGCAAGAAATTAAAAATATTGTTATTTGGAGGGGAGAAATTAATACTTTGTGTTTCATCAGTCAGAACTTTAAAGGTCTCTAAAATGGAGGATGCTAACTTGATTTGAGGAGAATTATAAATTTGTTTTTAAGTTGGTATTGGTTAGCCATATGATTATTGTACTTTTATAAAAAGTGAGATGAATATTTAGCTAAACAGTGATACTAAGGCAGGAATATATGTATTAATTACAACTTTTAAAGTGCTATTAGCTCTATTTAAATTTTCAAATACTTTTTGTGGATGCAAGTTAATTGCCTACTTAGGACACACAGAAACAAGTGGACTCCTCAGAATCCCTTCAACTGTATGGCCAGCATATGTCATAAGTTATGGATTATGCTTTGTGAGGCAATCCTTGTCTCCCTCCCTCGTTAGCAATTGACTTTGGTTTAATGGGACAATTTTGAAAAAACAATTTTTTAAAAAATCAACAAATGAAATTATATGTACTTATCATGTGCAACGTGTTGTTCTGAACTATGTATATGTCATAAATAGCTAGAGCTAATTAACAAGTATTACCTCACATAATTATTATTTTTTGTGATTAAAGCACTTAAAAGCTACCTTCTTAGCATTTTTCAAGAGTACAGTTAGTACTGTCTACTCCTTTATTGAGTAGTATATTCTCCCATTGCCAAGTTTTCAGTTAGTTACCATAAAAATTAGTAGCAATGAATCATTTAAAATTGCCATGTTATCTGTGCTGGATCCTGTGTCTGTGTTCCTGGCAGCTGATGTTGGTGGACATTAATCAGGCCCTTTGGCTTTAGGTAGGTTTCAGACAGCAGAAGATACCAGTAGGAGATCAGAGGCTGGGTGAGAGTGGTTAGAGGATTTATTCCCTGCCACCTCCCTTTTGGCTATGGTTTGGAATTGGCTGCATTCCTTATGTTTGGCCAGCCTCTCATTCCATCCGCTCCAGCACTCTTTCCAGGGTCTGGCAGCACTTCCCTGTTCTAGATATTGCTTCCTTTCCCATCTTCTTTTTTGCCTAGTGGTGTTAATGGCTTCCCACTGTTGCTAACCCAAGGATGCTTTATCAGTCCATGCTGATTTTTATGAATTCTGTTCATCTTTTTGTAAGTAAGTTCTTTTATTTTTTTTAATTTTCCCTTTTCAGTTTGCCAGCTCTTTGCTGCTGTGAACCTGACCTCTTTGTAATCATTTAACTTCTCAGACAATGATAAGTATACAAATATACTTATCATTGTGAATATATAAGTACTATGTGGCTTCTTTTTTAGAGAGAGAGAGAATTTTTAAAATATTTATTTTTTAGTTTTTGGTGGACACAACATCTTTATTTTATTTTTATGTGGTGCTGAGGATCGAACCCAGTGCCCCGCGCATGCCAGGCGAGCGCGCTACCGCTTGAGCCACATCCCCAACCCCAAGTACTATGTTTTTAATATGATACTTGGTTCAGGAGGATAAAAGAAGCTCTTTATTTAATGCAGACCATGCTTTGCTTGTTTTACTAGATAGCAATAAAACATTCAAAGAACTTTATCACAATATCAGCAATTAGGCTTATCTTTGCTAACCCAAATAACAATATTTGTTCTGGAAATTAGTATTATCTAACCCAAATTAAACTAATCACCTAAATCAATATACAAATAGTTGAAAAGCTTTGGCAAAATTATTATATTACAATTTTCCAAGTTCTTTCTTGGTAATCTTTCCATTTGACTAAACATAGTCCCTTCATTTCAGTGGCTGCCTCTGACCACTGGAAAAATATTACTCCTAAGTGAATTTCTTTTCTCAGGTAAGGGATATAGGGATGTTATAGAATTATTTAAAAATTTCCCAGACAGTTGGTTTCTACTCATTATTAAATCATTTAATGTTTTAGTTAAAGCATTATCTTTTAATTATTTAGAAAATAAATTCTTTTGTATATAACCTTAAAATTATTTAGCAGATATTGATTAGGCAAAACTCTAAGGAAAATACAGTAACAATTTATCATATGATAAGTCAAACTAACAATCATCCATTGTATTTTTCCATTTTTATTGCACCAAAATACTGTTCCCTATGAAAAATCTTAATTCATATATATTTAGAATCATGTACAATCTTTTGTTTATCCACTGGGGAAAAACTGGCATTTACATTAACTTCTCTCCATTTAAGAGGAATCTTAAATTTTTCCTTCAGTAGCTTCATAGCAGTACTCTCCTCTATGTAAAAATATCGAATTTCCTCATGCATATGAGTTCTTTTGATTAGAGGTGAAGTAATCAAGAATACTGTATTCTCAATACTTCTAAAACCTTATCATAATGGTAAAGTTAAAATATTAAGAACCTGATGACTTCCTCAGTGTCTCAGTTTGTATCTCAAACAGTTCCCTAACATCTATATTCTGTGTATTTACAGCAAGTTCTATTCAGCTTTTATTTATATTGACTTCAGAAGCTACAGGTGGGATGAGTGGAAGTAGGAAGGATTCACAAGTAGAGTGTGCAGAGTGAGACAAGAATGGGGCTTATGACAAATTGTGGAAGAGCAACCATTATTTGAGGCATGGACATGGAAATGGCATGCACAAAGGAGAAGGAGAAGGATGGAGGTCAGAAAAGTAGGAGAAAATCAAGGAGAACAGGATGATCCAGAAGCCAAGAGAAGTTGGAGAGCAAAATTCAAACCATGAACAAAATTTACACAAAAATAAGGGAGTGTTATTCCTGAGAATCTGAACATAAAGGCAGATGGAAACAACCATCCACAGCTATAACAACTGGAAGGCATCAGCATCCATGCAGGAGAAAAGCAGAACAAAACAATGGGAATCTAAAGGGTCCCAAACCAAGAAAGCTGCCAAAAAGACAATAGGGATTCAGTGGAAGGACAGTGGTATAGTTTGAGAAGAGCAGCAGACTCTGAAGGGGCTTTGGCCATTCCATCAATAGATGAGTGCAGAGGTTCCCAGATGCATATAAACAAGATGGACAGTCTGCTGCCCTGGGAGCTTTTGAAATTACCTCCCCTTTTGGTTGGTGCTCTACAGTGCTGAGGGGCTGCTAGGAGTGGAATCAATATTGAGAAGGATACGGATAGTAGAGAGAAAATTTGAAAGAGGAGGTTGAGGTAAAAGTGAGAGAATAAAAGAATTTAACAAAGAAAAGAAAATATCAGAAAGCAAGTGCCATATTTTGAAGGATTATATTGAAAAAAAAAATGAAAGCAAAGCTCTGTGAGCCATATCTTCTGAAAGTTCAGTGAAACTGGAAATGATCTATAAAGAAGCATTGAGGTCAAAGCTCATTTAAAATTACTGTGAGAATGAGAAGCAGAATAACATCCTGTAGACAAAGGAAGCAGATCATAAAGACCCGTGTACAAAGCTGTGACTTTTATTTCGAATCAAACTAAAGGCATTGAGAAAA